CCTGCTTGGCCCTGTCTCAGGGACAGCCTTGACATTGGCTCTTCTGTCTGTGACATGGCGCTGGACCCTCCCCAAATGCTCACCCCTTCAAATGGGACCGCCCTCAGTCACAGGGGTCCAAGTCTCTCCTTTCTCTGAGCACCATGACGACTGACGTGCATGCGGCTGCCTGAGAAGACTGGGCTGGGACAGTCCCACTTGTCCCTTCACTCTTCCCCGTGACCCCCTCAGCGAGCCTTTCCTGGGAACCGACTGGGCATCAGGCCCTGCGCCAGGCACCAGGGACATGAAGATGAACACGAGGTAAGGTCTATGTCCTCCAAACCGGACGACTAGCCAGAAGCAAAGGCAAGTACACATGAAGAGTGATGGGCATGATTCAGAAATGTGGAGGAGCCGGGGCAAGGGGCAGAGGCGCCATGGTCTCCCCACACCCGCCCCCTTCCCAGCCAGCCAGGGTGACGGGAGAGGCCAGCACACACAGACCAACTGCGGAACCAAAAGCACATCTCCCGTATGGACTCTGCACGGCCCGAGCAGCGTGTTATCACCGAGCGGCCTAGCTGGGCCTGTACGTGTAATCTTTTTTGTTTGTTTTTATTTTTAAGAATTACTTTATTTTTTAGTATTATCATTCTCTCAATTTGCTATATGGCACACATGCAAGAAAGAGAGAGAGAGAGAGAGAGAGGGAGGGAGGGAGAGAGGGAGAGAGGAAGCCACCAGGTCTGGGACTTGAACCGCAGTTGGCCATGGGGGAATCCAGTGCCTCAACTATGTGGTGTCTTCAGTGAGACACAGCGTCACATGAGAACCTGAGCCAGGGGAACGGGGCACATGCTTGGACCTCGGCACCTTCCTGGGTGTCCCACAGAAGGGCAGAGGCAGGAGACCCTGCCCCACAGCCAGTCGGCGATGGGGCAGCAGATGACCCAGACCCAGCCAAATGAACGCTTTCTCTGAGTCTGCACCGGCGGGAGTGAGGCGAGGAAGCAGGGGTGCAAAGAAGCCTCCGCCCAGGCTGCTGGCAGCAGCACCTGTATCCGACCTGCAGGGCCAGTGGTGCCCCAAGCCCTGTGATGACAGCAGTGGCTCCTGACCATGCTGCCCTGGCATGCCTAGCGCGTGGGGACACTGCCCAGCTTCCTCCGGCTCCTGTCCCTTTTCCAAAACTGGTTGTGCGCTTTCCTGTCCAGACTGTGTGCTGCCCTATTTCCTTCCCAAAAACTCCCTTCCTGTTTTGAAGAGCTGGTTCCTGTTGTGCATGACAGAAGACCCTGGTGGCCCGTGGCCTCTCACATTCCACCTGCCCTCCCTAGGCAGGATGGCCAGTGGGACCTCCAGACATGACGCTGTTGTGCTGCCGAGGGGGGTGGGGGCGATGGGCCAAGCAGGTGCCACCTGGGAGGTGGCTGAGGCTCCAGCTGAACTGCAGACAGGCGACCCACATCTGACTGAGCGAGCTGTTCTGGACGTGTGAAGGGGAGGAAAACCAGCTCTGCTCGCTGGAGCCCTCTCAGACTGGCTGGACAACTAGGGTGCGGTGCCTGGGCAGGGCAGGCGGCATGAAGTGTCCACACAGGCAATGACGGAGACCCTCTGGTCTTCCATCCCTGCATGTGGACGTGGACGGTGGCCCTCCCTGAGCTCGAGTGGCCCTTCTCCACAGCCCAGCCGTCATCGGGGAGGGCCAGAGCACGGGGTGGCTTACTGAAGCCATGACAGCTGCTCGAAGGAAACGTGATACCAGACCAGAGAGAAAACCACCTGCTTACTCAGACGTGGGGAAGAACAGAAGGCGTCTGAAGCACGGTTGTAAAACTTACAAAGCGAGGCAACCCTGAGGGGCCCAACCACCTCTCTGGAGGCTGCGGTGTTGTCAGGGCAGATGAAGCTGTCTCTGCTAAAGGACTCCCCCTGCCTGCCTCTTAAAACACAGGTCAAGCTGTAAACCCACACAGTCCTCAAGGTGGCGTCACACAAGCTCCCACACGGGAGCCGCCCAGTTCTCTCTCCACAGGCGGAGACCTGCCCCTGCGCACCTGTCAGACTCCCCCAGGTGCTCAGGTCCTTCAGCCTGCACCCCAGGACTTAGCACAGACATGCTGCCACGGTGTGGGGGAAATCCAGTCCCACCAGGCACGCGGGTCAGAGGAAGGTCCTACTTTCTCCCCTACAAGCTCAGCGACCTCCAAGAAGGAACATGAGGCACTGTACCTGTGGAAGTATCCGACGGAACACCTTCGTGTATTTTCTCAGCCTGAAAACGAACGTGAGATGCCATTAGTCCCGACGACCGGGAAACATGCTGGCCATGCTGGCGTGTGCCTGGGGCCCAGGGCTCTCCAACGTACCTTACTGCCATTGCACATTCTGATAATGGACACATAGTGTCTAATTTTTCTGCAAATAGAAAACAGTGCATTACTTCCCTCCTGGCTCTCCACTTGGATGTCCAAGCAGTTCATTTTTCATTCTGAAAAGAGCACCTCCCTTTCACAATACACACAATGCTTTGAGGCCAACGCCACCAATGAACAGACAAGAGTTTACCAATGTCATGTCTTCTGGTGTCTCTATGGAAAGAAGTGATTCAGTAAAAAACAATAAAATCCTCCAACCATCATAACAGACAATAAAAAATATGTATGTAAAAAAAAAAAAAAGACTGCATGTTAACCGACTGAGAGCTTCACTCCTTGTACGTCTCCGATTCTCACAACCCTTTCCACTGGTGCTCGCCCTCAACGATGTGCTCACGGTCACTCACGGGAACAGACAAGGCCACCCTGGGAGAGGCGCTCGCTGCGTGCCGAGAACACAGCAGCGAGGGCTCGGCTCAGAGGCTACTGGCTCTTCTCACGTATTTGTTGCTCCTCCCGTTCTTTTCCCGTTCCCTCGATAATCAAACCCCTATGTACTGTCACAGAACAATTGGGAAAGGACATAAGAGGGCAAAGAATGAGAACAGAGAGCCCACACAGATCTGTCTCCCTGGGGCGACTGACAACTGGCGGCCCGGGCTGGTGACAGAGCACGTGAGCCGTGCAGTCAGTGCCGAGGTCTGCGGCCTGGCTCCGCGTGCGCTGGCAGCCAGACTCCGAGCCAGGAGCTTATACTCTCTAAGCCTCAGTTTCCTCATCTGTGAGGTGGAGACGGTCATGGGGCCCACCTCACGGGGCTGCGGTGGGGATGAAATGAAGTGGTGTCTCCCAGGCACTGTGAGCCTGGCTGGGAGGAGGCCTGGACAGACATGAGCAGGCACTGCCCTCGCCAGAGCTCCTCCTGTCCCGTCTTTCCTTTTTGCCTTTTCATGATTGAGTTCACTAGGTAAGCTTTTACAGCTTCCTTTTCGCATTTAACATTTCAAAAGCTTTCTCCTTGTAATTTAAGGTTCTGTGATTGGTATTTCTGATGGCTGTATGTTTTATTGTGTGGTATTCTAATATTCATAATTTTCTACTTTCCATGTTATTTTTAAAATAATAGCTTCTGCATCAAACTGTCTGAAAATTTTAGGCTCCTTAGGTACTAATTTATTAATACTAAATTAATACTAATTTCCAACCTACAGTCACATCTGTTTTATACAAGAATTCCCATAATGTCGTATTTAAGAAATCTGTATCTGATTTGTCAGGCTTTTGCAGAAATACTGCATAGGACATCAAATTGGATTCAAATGGTAAGGGGCCTAGCAGTCATCATTCTTATCACACGGCTGAGCAGACTGAGGCGCTGTGCACTCGGCAGCTTTAACAAGACGGTCCCAAGTGTGGGGGCTCTGGGCTGCAGGTAGAGGGCCAGCTGGTGGCCACAGGCAGCCACGAGGATGTCACCGCGACCCCACCCTGGAAGGCCATTCTGTGCTAACACCAGACCTTCCTATGAGCCTCACTTATAACCCCTGGCAGGCAGTTCTTACATAACTCAAATATTCAAAGTGCATTTGGCAATAACCTAAAACGTGGCTTGCTAGCTAGCTGAACTGCTCGTTTTTTCTACTTACCCTCCCTGTCCAACGACAGGTATTATCTTCACATTTTGTTGTATATTATCTCCATTTTTCTTTTTGGCAGAGTAAATTCCTTGCCACTCCTAGAAATGGAATGTAAGCATCATTATATTTGTATTCAAAACAGAAACCCAAGAACATTTTCTACCTTGGTTCCGATTCATTTCCATTCCTACAAAGCAATTAGGATAAAAGTGATCCTCAGTCCCATTTCAGGTCATCTAACAGTTCTTTCTCAGCCTTTAATGCCCACCGTGGATCCTCCTGGGTTGCCGACAAAGTCAAGTGACCACAATGTAAGCAGCTACCTGCTTCGTGCTATCTGCTGGCGAATGGGGCCTCAGCCCATGGATGAAGAGCACACCTTGCGTCAAGTGGGGGTCTCCCCTCACAACTGCCCCCGCACAGTGGGAGAGAGGCCCGGTCTCTGTGCCGGTGTTTGGGAGTGGGAGGTTGTTCTGTGGCCACTGCTGTCAGCTTCTCAGTCTAATGGCGCGAAGGCCCTCTGGGACGTGTGAGAGTTTCAGTCCCTCTGCAAGCAGGGTGGGGACAATGAGGTAACAGCCAGGATGGAGCTCAGGTAGAACGAACAGGTGAGACCCTTAGGCCCAGGATCCAATGACATTGGTCATGATTTCAGGATCAGACAGACTTGAGGATTCATGTGGACAGGAAGTGCGGTCTGAGTGAGCAGGGCAGGCCTGTGGGCAAGAATGTGGTGAGGACACAGGCCTGTGGTTCCCCTACTCCTGGTTCAGAAGGGAGGGTCAGGGAGAGAACTGGGTTTTGTCACCATCTTCAAAGGTTCTAAAGTCATTAAGAAGTCACCAAGGTCCCCGGCTATGGAAATCCCTAAAACCACTATACCACACTGGATTCCTGGGGTGTTCTGTAACCTTCTGAACCTTCCACAGTCCTTCAAGACCTGGAATGGACCCAAGCGGGACGTGGCCACCACGGCAGCTGTGGTGGCCTCGTTGAAGGCTCCTGTCCACACCCTCTCATGATCTGGAATCTGTGCTTCGGGTGTGGCCACCTGCATGCAAATGCCAATGGTGAGATCTCCTCTTCAGACTCCTCTGGGAAAGTGGATCAAAAAGAAGCTAAGACACTGATTGAGGCAAAGGATGATTACTGATGCTTCCTGATAAAATTCTGAAAAGGATGGGCACCAAAAAAGGACAGCATCAAAAATCAGCCAGAGATCCCAGCTTGTACGGGCCTTATGCATACAGAGTGAGGCCTGATCCCCAAACCAGCAAGAACCAAACAGGGCTCCCTGGTCAGGAATGAGCAGGCCTCCGTGTCCACAGCCCATCTGTCCAACCTGGAAGGTCAGCAATCGGGTCAAGATAAGTAACAGAAACCCACTGCGGTTTTGTTGTTGTTGTTGCTTTTTAATTTGCTAAAGGGTGTGTGGGCTCTCTGGGGAAAGAGAAAGGGAGAGAAGGAAAGTAAGAAGGCACTGTCCATGGGGGATGGTCACACTAAGAACCCTTTATCTCTTCTCCACTTCTCCTTCCAGGATTCTGGGCACAAACTGACACAGGCCTAGCAGGTTTCTCAAGTCACTGGGTCAGGTCCTCAAACCATGCAGTCAGCAGTGCGGGATCCAGTTGCCTTAACCACCACGACACTGGCTAGCTCAACTATGATGTTTGCAAAACTCTGAATATACCAAAAACCATGAGCAGGGTCAGTGTGTGTGTGTGTGTGTGTGTGTGTGTGTGTAGAGATATATACATTTTTTAGAGAGATTTTTGCTATAGGGCACATACGTCCACCAGAGACTCAGAGAGAGACAGAGGGACCATGAGAAGTTACTCCACGGGGGAATGGGCACACCACAATCCCTTGTCCTCCATTATTCTCTCAGGATTTTGGGCATAAATGCACAGGCACCTGGTGTGAGTTTCAAGCCGCTGGATCTGGGACTCGAACCACAATCAGTAATGTGGGAGTTCAGTGCCACAACCACTACGCCATCTGCTGGCCCCAGAGTGTATTTTCTTCTTTTCTTTAACTTTTTTCATTTAATTTTATTAATTATTTTAATTTGACCAGAGAGAGAGAGAGAGGGAGAGAAAGAGAGGGAAAGTAAGAAAGCAAGCTGCTGGGTCTGGGACGTGAACCTCAGTTGGCCATGTGGGAATCTAGTGCCCTTAACCACCATGCTAACTGCTGGCCTCCACCCCAGACTGCATATTCTAAACAAATAATATTGTATGGAATTATATCTTAACAGAAATTATCCTATTAAAAGAGACAGACATATAGGAGACCAATCCAGTTGGTCAGCACTTTAAAATATCTATTTAGGGACCAGCAGTTGCCGTAATGGCTGTGTTGCTGGACTCGTAGTCGACCACGGTTTGAGTCCTGGACCCGGTGGCTTAAACTCACGCCAAGCGCGTGTGCTTGCGTGCCCAAGATCCCAAGATGAAGGAACCAGCAGTTAGCGTAATGGCTATGTCGCTGGACTCTCATGTAGTTGACTGCGGTTCGCGTCCTGGACACGGTGGCTTAAAACTCACGCCGGGCGCGTGTGCGTGTGTGCCCAAGATCCCAAGAGGAGAATGGAGGAGAAGGGACTGCAGCGTGACCATCCCCCCTGGGGGGTGATTTCTCACTTTCTGTCTCTATGTCTGTCTCTGTCTGTCTGGCGAGCGCATGTGCCCTATAGCGAAAACCTCTCCAAAAAAAGATCCCAAGAGGAGAATGGAGGAGGGTTTGTGGCGGGGCCATATCCCCTAGGGGGTGATTGCTCGCTCGCTTTCTGTCTCTCCGTCTCTGTCTTTCTGGTGAGCGCACACACCCTATAGCAAAAACCTCTCTAAAAAAATAGTAATAAATAAAATATATATTTAAGATTTTCTTCTCTAGGTCTTTCCAAATAGACTCTGATAGGTGACAGTTCCAAGCCAAGGAATGAGGGGCCATTCCAGCCAAGGCCAAGGCACCATGGTCCATCTGAAAGAGAAGGTTTAGCCAACAACGTGGCTCAGGTAGCAGAGCTGCCTCTAAGTCCCCCAATTGCCAGAGGTAACAAAAACATTCACTTATAAAAAGCCTGTAAGTTGTGGTTCCCAAGAACACCAACAGCTCAACCTTGCAGTGTCAGGTAATGTGCGCGGACTTCCAGCACTCCTCACACCTGGCAACCCTGCAGGTCTGGGTACAGGTAGTGTGCACAAGCCTTGGTCCCCAGGCGGAGCTCCCCCCAGAACAGCCGGAAGGCCTGCATTTCGCTTTCGCTTCTGTCCAGAACAAGCTACACAGCCAGCTGGGCTTCTCTGGCTATTGATGCAATCCCTCTCGGCACCCACTGTCCTAAGAATGAAATCATCGCCATGCCCAGGGCTAACACAGAGCACTAACATGGTAAACCATCAAGAACACTACCAGCTTTTGTTTACTGAATGGAAAAGGCAAGCCAAAATCAACTACAGAATCCTCCGGCCAGGCTAAGGAATTTGCACTCTGTGCCTAAAGGAGTGATGTGACAAAAGGACGAGTTAGTACGAGTAGCCACGCAATGGGCACAGTGCACTGACAGGAGGCAGCGAGCCAGACAAGGAGACCTGACTGGATTCAGCCACCGTAGGTCCAGGGTGTAGGAAGAAGCCCCTGAGCAAGTCAGGCCCAGCTAGTAGACACTCAGAGGCAGCCATTTAACGGCCACCAGGGTTTGGGGGGTCAGAGGGGATACAAGAGAGCAGGGAGTCCCAGCAAAACGTTTCCAGGAATCTAAGTCACGGTAACCATCCAGTGGCCTGGGCGCACAGAGGCAGGGGCTCTGGGGGGGGGGGGGGGGGGGGAAGTGTACGCAGGGTACAGAGGAAACCACTGCTGGACAATTTAATTCCAGATGACGACAGGATGTTGAACCAGACCTGGGAAGAGAGGCTGTGGCTAAATCCAGGGAGGTGTGAAACATGCATGCAGAGCAGGAAAGAGCCTCCACACTGAGGGAGCAGAGCAGCGAGCGTCCTCGGGTGCAGAGGGCAGGAAGTGGACAGAGCAGGAAAACGGGCAGCTGTGAGGGAGGAAGGAGGGATCTCAGAAGCAGAGGAAGGTAAACGTTTTGAGGAACTAACTGCCTCTGCAGGTGCACATCAGTCCTGCAGGCAGGCAGAGCACGTGGGGAAGAACACACAGAATTATTTTTTCTCTTTTTAGGTTTTGCCATAGGGCATGTGTGATCACTGGAGAGAGACGAGAGAGAGTGGGGGAAAGTGAGAAATCACTCCCAGGGCTTGGCCAAGCTGCAATCCCTTCTCCTCCGTTCGCCTCGTGGCACATGTGCCTGGCGTGCTTTTCAGGGCCTGAGATTTGAACTGTGTTGGCCACGTGGGAGTCCAGGGCTTTAACCACCACGCCACTTGCTGGTCCCCAGGAAAAGATTCAAGATCTCCAAAGGAGAAGAGACAATGTAAGTGTCATGTATTTGAGAAGACGGGAGATTGGTTCTAGAGCCCTAATGAAGAATGCTTGGGAAAGAAGAAAAGAAGAGGGAAACCAAGAAGGATGTGGAGGCTCCTTGTCTTATTATGGGGTTACTGTTAACTGAAAACACATTTTAAGAAAGAAATTATTTATTTAATTCCACTTGTTATTATTATTTCTTTAATTTGCCCAGAGGGAGACAGAAGAGAGAGAAAAGGAAAGCAAGACAGCAAGCTCCAGGTCTGGGACTTGAACCACAGTCAGTCATGTGGGAATCCAGTGCCTTTACCACCACACCACCTGCTGGCCCCCAAAACAAAGATTTTTGCTATATGACGTGTACGCTCGCTGGAGAGACAGAGAGAGATACACATACAGAAAGCAAGAAATTACTCCCTGGGGAGTGGCCACGCTATCCCTTCTGCGCTATCCCACAGTCCCTTTTCCTCCATTCTCCTCTTGAGGTTTTAGGCACGCATGCATACACGCCCCGTGAGTTTCAAGCTTCCAGGTCCAGGACTCGAATCGTAGTTGGCCACGTGGGAGTCCAGCAACATAATCATTATGTCATCTGCTAGTCCCCAGAAAACACGTTTAATATACCACACTGCCCCTCCCACACGTTTTAAATACACCACAGCCCAGCCTGGCCTACCTCACACGTGCTCAGAAGACTGGCATTACCCTGCAGCTGCAGAGTCACCTAAAGAGACGAGAGAGAGTGGGGGAAAGTGAGAAATCACTCCCAGGGCTTGGCCAAGCTGCAATCCCTTCTCCTCCGTTCGCCTCGTGGCACATGTGCCTGGCGTGCTTTTCAGGGCCTGAGATTTGAACTGTGTTGGCCACGTGGGAGTCCAGGGCTTTAACCACCACGCCACTTGCTGGTCCCCAGGAAAAGATTCAAGATCTCCAAAGGAGAAGAGACAATGTAAGTGTCATGTATTTGAGAAGACGGGAGATTGGTTCTAGAGCCCTAATGAAGAATGCTTGGGAAAGAAGAAAAGAAGAGGGAAACCAAGAAGGATGTGGAGGCTCCTTGTCTTATTATGGGGTTACTGTTAACTGAAAACACATTTTAAGAAAGAAATTATTTATTTAATTCCACTTGTTATTATTATTTCTTTAATTTGCCCAGAGGGAGACAGAAGAGAGAGAAAAGGAAAGCAAGACAGCAAGCTCCAGGTCTGGGACTTGAACCACAGTCAGTCATGTGGGAATCCAGTGCCTTTACCACCACACCACCTGCTGGCCCCCAAAACAAAGATTTTTGCTATATGACGTGTACGCTCGCTGGAGAGACAGAGAGAGATACACATACAGAAAGCAAGAAATTACTCCCTGGGGAGTGGCCACGCTATCCCTTCTGCGCTATCCCACAGTCCCTTTTCCTCCATTCTCCTCTTGAGGTTTTAGGCACGCATGCATACACGCCCCGTGAGTTTCAAGCTTCCAGGTCCAGGACTCGAATCGTAGTTGGCCACGTGGGAGTCCAGCAACATAATCATTATGTCATCTGCTAGTCCCCAGAAAACACGTTTAATATACCACACTGCCCCTCCCACACGTTTTAAATACACCACAGCCCAGCCTGGCCTACCTCACACGTGCTCAGAAGACTGGCATTACCCTGCAGCTGCAGAGTCACCTAACACGGAAGCCCATTTTACAAGAAAGTGTTGAAAAATCTGACATGGTTAACTGAACCCTGGACTGAAAGTACAGAAGAGAATGGCTGCGTGGGTGCTGCAATCACAATTTCTCCGGAGTGCACACCGCTTTCACAGTATTCAGATTCTACATCGAACCACCGTAAGCTGGGACCGTGTGTTTAAAGGACAAATCAGCGCAGAAGCTGGAGACCAGCGTGCCCTTTACTTTTACCCAGAGGAACCAGAACTACAGAGCACAGGCAGCGAGGTCTGCAGAGCGGCACCACAACATTCTGTCTGAACATCATGACTTCTCTGCCCCGGGGAGTATCCCAGTCAGACCAGACTGTCTGGTGCCCCCGCCCTGGGCCGTGGGACCCCTTCCCGGGTCTCCAGCTGCCATTCTAGTCCCCAGCAGATGGCTGAACTCCCCTCCCTGATCACCAGAAGCTGGGGACTCCTCCACAATGCCTCCTCCCCCGAGAGCCTGCACTCACAGGCTGCGTATGCTCCCACCTCCAAACCTCAGCGGCCGGCCGTCCTCCGCAGCTGTGCCAGCAAAGCAGCAGGTTACAAAAAGGGGGCCCTCTCAGGAGCTCTGAAATATGCCAAGCTAGTAGCCAGGCTCCATTAGAGATGGAAGTGCAGGGGTCGGGAACACAGTAGCCTTTCCTGTTGTTGGCTCACGGTAAACACAGAGAAGAGGTCTCTCTATTCAAGCGTGAGGCCCTCTGTCCTGGTGCCCAACGGCATGACCCCGGCACCGATGAGACATGCCACACAGACCGGCAGGACCGGGACTTGACGGCGACTCGCTGAGCACCCCCTCTCTAGCTTACCTGCCCCCTAAGTGAGAGGGACAAGGGATGCCTCCATTAAGTGTTGCCAGATCAGGGGCCACAAGGACCACCCTTGCCCCACCCCACCCCCCGGCTGAACCTCACAGCAAAACCACTGGCTGATGCAGCGGCAGTGAGGACCCTCAGGCATGGGAGAGCGACGCCCTTGGCCGTGGTGTGGGTGACTGTGTTTCCGGCCCCCTGCAGACGATGCCCTCAGCCACAGAAGGGAGCACGTGCTCCAAACCCACACAGTGCACCTGAGGGGCTCCTCATTTCGGCCTTCGCACTCTCCAGAGGGCCTCCCACTTTCTCTAAGTAAGAAAACACCAAGACTGGAGCAGAGCCTTCTGTCACCCTGACAGCATGTTACTGGTGCCCTGCCGGTAGGCTGCTCCTTCCCTCTTCCCATCTCATGGCAACTTCAAGTGCTCAGAGCAAACGGAATGGGCCCATCTGCTGTGTCTTGAGGGGGCTGAGCCGAAGGGCATAGACGCCGATTTTTTAAATGGTCCAAAGAATCCAATTAGTGGGGCCAGCAGATAGCATAATGTTTACATTACTGAACTCCCACGTAGTTGACTGTGGTTCGAGTCCTGGACCCAGTGGCTCAAACTCAGGCCAGGCGCATGTGCGTGCTGGCCCAAGATCCTGGGAAGAGAATGGAGGAGAAGGGATGGTGGCGTGGGGAAATCAGCTGGCGGGTGATTTCTCACTTTCAGTCTCTCTGTCTCTGGTGAGCACATACGCCCTATAGCAAAAACCTCTCCAAAAAAATTAAAAATCCGATTAATAGCCCCTTCCCAGCTTCTAAAAGTGAGAAAGTCCAGCATCAGGGACCAGGAAGGACTGAAAAGCAGAACACACTTCCTTCTCATCATATCTGAAACCTGGGCCACGGTCCAGAGAGGGAAACAGCCTCCCCTACAGGCTGCTCTTGTTCCACCAGCCCTCTTAGCACCATGACTGCCTGACTTCTCTTATCACTGCAAGAAGATCCCGGTTACTTGTTTGTTTCCAACCCTAGAGCTCTTGAACCTGAGATGTTTCATTTTTTCTCTCTTCCTACACCAGAATCTAGCACAGTGTCCACACAGCAGGCATCAGAAAAAGCTCAATGAACGAACAAGGCTCAGAGAACTGGTGGGCTCAGATGCGTTCTAAGACTGTGCTGTGTGGTCTCGCTGCCTCTCACCCAGAGACACCTGCTAGTCTGTCTCCTAGATCAAGTATTACAAGGTCAACACATCTACTTATCACAGAGTCAAGATTAAGTTACTCTCACGGGCTCACCCTATTATGTCTTCCTTGGTCTTGGTTTCCTCATCTGCAAAATGGGGACACGCAGGACGACACTGCCGACACATCCCCGTGCCGCTGGGATGAGTGAGACTGTGCCTACCCGGCACGCGCAGCACTCGGCGGACACCAGGTCTTCCTCCCGCTCAGCTAAGCAAAAGTGAAAAGGTGCTGACGCTCACTTACCTTGCCGATCCTGATGTACGAGTTTATGGTGTCAAGCAAGTCAGCCTTCTTCTCATTTATGGGCACTTCGGCTAACTCCTTCCCTATCAACTCCCCCGTCTGATAGCCCATTGTTGTTTCGAAGGCAGGATTTGCATACTGGGGGGAGACGAAAGGAAAAACATAAAGTGAATTAAAAGACATCTGAAAAGAGGTCAATCAGAGGCCTTCACCCAAAAAATCTCTTCTCTCCCCCAAAAGCTCAGGAGGCTGGACCTCACCGAGGACTGAAACTGACCACTTTCCTCTGGTTTCCACTTTTCCCAGAGGCCTGGGAAGAGTCAGGCCAGGCAGTGAGCAGTTGGCCTTGCTAAAGCAGACCTCGGCTTTGTCCAGTGACTGGGGACACTCCTACCTCCTGACGCTGGCACAGCCTCCTGGACGTACAGAGAAGCCTTCTTGTCTCTGTTAAGTTAAACTCAGAGATTTTTTTTTTCAATCTTTTTCAAAGACTTGTGCTTTTAACCAGTTAATAACCTATCTAAACTCACCAATAACTTGTAAGCAGCTCATTTCTAGATATTCCGCATACTGGGGCCAGCAGATAGCATAATATTTACATTACTGAACTCCCACGTAGTTGACTGTGGTTCGAGTCCTGGACCCAGTGGCTCAAACTCAGGCCAGGCGCATGTGCGTGCTGGCCCAAGATCCTAGGAGGAGAATGGAGGAGAAGGGATGGTGGCATGGGGAAATCAGCTGGCGGGTGATTTCTCACTTTCAGTCTCTGTCTCTGTCTCTGGTGAGCACATACGCCCTATAGCAAAAACCTCTCCAAAAAAATTAAAAATCCGATTAATAGCCCCTTCCCAGCTTCTAAAAGTGAGAAAGTCCAGCATCAGGGACCAGGAAGGACTGAAAAGCAGGACACACTTCCTTCTCATCATATCTGAAACCTGGGCCACGGTCCAGAGAGGGAAACAGCCTCCCCTACAGGCTGCCCTTGTTCCACCAGCCCTCTTAGCACCATGACTGCCTGACTTCTCTTATCACTGCAAGACGATAAGAGGTGCTGATGTAGGACGATCTGAGGTGCTGATGAACAGGATGGGAGCTCAAAGCAGCCAGGCTCGACCTGTCTCCACCCACCGTCTGATCTTTGGGAGCCACTTAGTGCCCTGGTGTCTCGGACTGCTCATCTTGAGGGTCTGACATGGGGATGAAACATGTCTTGCCTTTCTTCTCTGAGTCATATGAGAACTCATCATGTGTAAGTGGGCCATGCATTAGAAAATGTTTACAAATAAAAGGCCTTAAGGTGAGGATTCAAGTAGGACCGTGAGACGAGAAAACGTATGGAAAAGCTGTGTATGCCAATGACGACGATGCAGAAAAGGACTGGTGTTTGTCAAGGTCTGCCTTCCCTGCGAGGCTCCACAGTAAGCACTTCAAACGCATGAACTCCTTTGGCCCTCAGGACACAAGGATCAAGTATTACAAGGTCAACACATCTACTTATCACAGAGACAAGTTCAAGTTACTCTCACGGACTCACCCTATTATGTCTTCCTTGGTCTTGGTTTCCTCATCTGCAAAATGGGGACACGCAGGATATGCAGGATCTCACAAAGGCAGGCTGTTCTCATTAACGTGATTCCCATTTGCACAGATGAGAAAAACAATTCGGATGGATTAAGTAACTTATCCAAAGTTGCTCGACCAAGGCAGGCTGGAACCGAGGCCAGCTGGGACGAATACTGGCCCAGGGCGCCTTTCGGGACACCCATCCCTGAACCTGGATACCATCTTCTGTTTACCAAGGAAGTCACAGTTGGATTAAGGAAGTACTGGAGTAAACCAGAAGTCAAATGAAAGTGGAGCCGCTTCTCAGACAAAAATAAAGTTCTGTAACACGACTCCCTCTTCTGATGTTATTTAAAAGTACACGCCACTACGGAATACTATTCAGCTGTTAAAAAAAAAAAAAAAAAAAAAAAACAACAATTCTGGCATTTGATAGAAAGGGGTCGAACATGGAAGACTTATGGCTGAGTGAAGCCAGCCAGGCTAAGAAACAAAGATATTGTACGTATCCACGTAACATACACTGGCTACCTGCACTCTATGGTAAGGATTGAAATAGCAGAGGGCATAAAACAGTGAAAATAGTTTCGGATGCTGAAGGCAGAGTGGAGGGGGCAGGGAAGGGAAGAGTATAGAACAGGAAAGCAGGAGGAAAAATAGAGAGGCATGACATTTGTGAGACACAGAAATGGCATGCCACCCGTTGATAACATGAATAGTACTCTCAACTGGGCTGGTCTGAGAAGTATTTCATGTTAGGTAAATTCTCTTTACAAGTCAGATGATGTACAGTGATCGAATGTTTAAAAAATAATGAGAATTAAAAGTACAAGCCACATTATCGTAAGTCACTTTCAGAAACCCACTTTACCACTAAAATGGGTAATGTATTCAGCAATTACTAGGCCTTTTATTTTTGAAATTTTAGTTGTTTCTAATAAATTTCTCTAAGTGTAAACTACATTTCAAAACACTGAGAAAGGCTTGTGAACCTTATGATCAGACCGTTTCCCCCCCTGCTGTACCCCCCCTGCCTCCAATCAGGCAATAATTCTCTGGAATAAGTCTCTCTTTACTTAAAACACACACACACACACACAAACAAAAAACCCCACACACACTAATAAGAAATAAGAAATGCAAATGTGGTATTTCTACACATGCTTTTCTATTCCTTAAGTAATTATAATTACTATTTTTTTCATCTATGAATTTTAAATTATACATTTTAATTATTTTGTTTTTTCTCTAAGGAAAACTGGTTTCTTGACCTTCAACAAAACAACCATATTGGAGGGGTTCAATCCTAACAATGAGAACAAACAAGAGAAGAAATCCAGACAGACAAATTCCCAATAACAAACCTGAATAATGTGGTCTTCACTTGTGATTTCTATTGCTTCTTGGCTTTTCTCTAATGCAGTGAATATTGAGTTACAAGCCCTTTATGGGTAAGGGAAAGAAGAAATGATTAATGTAAATTCTGCAAAATCTAATACAATCTTGGTATACTGCATTACTTTACTGAGCTGTTTCTTGTCTGATTTAGAAAGGTAATATATTCTTTTTTTTTTTTTTTTAAAGAGAGATTTTTGCTATAGGGTGCATGTTCTCACCAGAGAGACAGAAAGTGAGAAATCACCCTCCCCACCGGGGGATGGCCATAGCGCAATCCGTTCTCCTCCATCCTCCTCTTGGGATTTTGGGCACGCACGCATACAGGCATGGCATGAGGGTATTTTTTTTTTTAAAGAATTATTTTATTTAACCTTATTTATTTATTTATTTTAATTTAACCAGAGGGGGCGGGGGAGAGAGAGAGGGAAAGTGAGAAAGCAAGCTGCCAGACCTGGGACTTGAACTGTGGTTGACCATGTGGGAGGCCAGCACCCTTAACTATCATGCCACCTGCTGCCTCCCACCCCACCACCTCAGATGATTAGACAGAGTTAGTGTAGGAGCCAGCCATTCTACTCCTAGATATAGACCCAACAGGAAGGAAAATATACATCCACACAAGTATTTGTACACAGATGTTCATAGCAGCATTGTTCATAATTGCCAAACAGTGGAAACACCCAAATGTCCACCAAATGATGGATGGATAAATAAAATGTGGTGTATCTATACAGTGGAATATTTTACAAACATGAAGAGAAACGAGGTCTTCATACATGCCAAAAGACAGATAAACCCTGAAAACACTACGCTGAAGTCAAAGAAGCCTGTCGCAAAGGACCACGTACTGCATGATTCCATTGAAATGAACGGGCTGGCAGAGGCAAGCCCACAGAGGTAGGAAGGGGACGCCCGGCTGGCTGGGTGAGGGTAATACAAATGTTCTGCAGCTGTGGTGATGGATCTCAACTCTGGAAACATAATGAAAGTCACTGAATTATGTACCAAATAGGGGGAGTCACATGGTATGTAAACTATATCTCAACCAAATAAATGAGCTCTGGGGCCAGTCAGTGGTGCAGCAGGAGTACACTGGATCCACGTGGGCAAGGTATTCGGGTTGTGTCCTGGGAGCTCTCTGAGCACGCTGGGTGCATGCTCAAGTCTGTGCCAGTGATCGGGGGTGGCCCATGGTGTTTAGACCCTGCTGGAGTGTCTGACTCTCCTCCCAAGGAACAAACAAATAAACTTAAAAATCAACCCATCCAACAATGAGGGCAAATCACTCACCTGAAATGACAGTATCTATCAACCTGTGTTATGGGCACTGTCTGCATATATGTAATTTGTAAAAACAAGATCATATTCTATAGTTTTTTTGGAGAGGTATTTTTTTGCTATAGGGCACATGCACTCGCTAGACAGACAGACAGAAAGTGAGAAATCACCCCCCAGGGGGGATGGCCACACCACAATCCCTTCTCCTTTCTCCTCTTGGGATCTTGGGCACGTGCGCACATGCACCTGGTGTGAATTTTAAGCCACCGGGTCTGGGATGCGAACTGCAGTCGACTACATGGGAGTCCAGCAACATACACTAACTGCTGGTCCCATATTCTATAGTTTTATAATCTGCTCTTCTCACCAACAATAGATATCAATCTCTTCATATCAGTAATTACAGTTACCATTTTTTTCCCCTCTAATTTTTGTCATAGGGCACATGCACTCACCAGAGAGAGACAGACAGTGAGAGGGAAAGTGAGAAATCTACTCCCCCGAGGGAGGAGGGCCACACTACAACCCCTTCTCCATTCTCCTCTTGGGATTTTGGGCATACACGCACACACACGTGCCCGGCATGATTTTGAAGCCACTAGGTCCAGGGTGTGGACCACGGTCAGCCATCTGGGAGTCTAGTGTCTTAAGCACCATGCCACCTGCTGGCCCCTCTTTACCATTTTTAATAACAATATTCTGTACCAGCAGATGCTGTAGCAGTTACGTTGCTGAACTCCCACATGGCTGATCATGGTTGGAGTCCTGTATCCAGTGGCTTGAAACATACATACATATGTTTGTTTGTGTTTATATATGTGTGTGTATACATATAAATATATATGCACACACTCTCTCTCTCTCTATATATATATATATACACACACACACACATATATATATATAGAGAGAGAGAGTGTGTGTGTGTATGTGTGTGTGTGTGAGTGAGTGAAAAGCTATAATATACTATGACATTTAGGTTGCTTCTGTTTTTTTTCTTGTATGAGGAATCTGCCAAAGAATGATTAGGTGATTCTCTTGCCTCTGAAGACGGGAAAGAAAAAAAAGGTACTACCTCTTATTCATAAAGAACAGAGATAGGGGCCAGCAGGCGGTGTGGTGGATAAGGGTGCTGGATTCCCACACGGCCGACCATGGTTCAAGTCCCGGACCTGGTGGCTTGCTTTCGTCCCTTTCTCTCCCTCTGGGGTTAAAAAAAAAAAAAAAAAAAAAACCTAACAATAACAAATGGAATTAAATAAATAATTTTTAAAAAATAAATAATTCTTAAAAAAACCCAGATAATCATATGTAAATTATAACCACAACAATGCTTTGTATTATTCCTACTATTACTAGATTGCTTGGCTAAACAAGAAAAACAACTTAACTAGTAAGAATTAGCTCCTCCATGTAAAAATCAAGAGATGGAATATGCATTATACTATATTAATTAAAAAAAGATCACAAGTAAGGTTCTAGTTCTGATACAGTAAGTTGAGAGAATCTGAGGAACCCTACTGGGTTTTACCATTTTTTAAAAAAGAATGACTTAATTTTATTATTATTTTAATTTGACCAGAGAGAAAAAGAGAGGAAAAGTGAGAAAGAAAGCCACCAGGTCCAGGGCTTGAACCATGATCGGCCATGTAAAAGTCTAGCACTGTAACCATCATGCCACCTCCCAGCCCTTTACCATTCTTTTTTTAACTTTTGTAGACCTGGCAAATAAAAAATATCATTTACTTTCATTTCTTGGGTGAAGAAATTACTAGTGAAGTCAAACATCTTTTCATGATTATTGGCCATTAATAACTCTTATGGGGGGCCCCAGAGATGGGGTGGTGGTTAAGGCACTGAACTCCCACATAGACAACCATGGTTCAGGTCCAGGACCAGGCAGCTTGAAAATCACGCTGGGCAGGTGTGCATACGTGTCCAAAATTCTGAGAGGAGAATGGAGAAGGGATTGTAGCATGGCCACCTCCCTGCAGGGTGACTTCTTATTTTCCACTCTCTCCCTCTCTCCTCTCTGTCTCTGACGAACACAAGTTTGCCAGAGTTTCTGTAGCAAAAACTTTTTAAAAATGTCTTGTGAGTTGCTTGAGCTTATCTTTCTTTTTTTAGAGAGAGAGAGACATTTGCTACAGGGTACGTGTGCTTTCCAGGAGAGAGAGAGAGAGAGTGAAAAATCACCTCACTAGTGAGCATGGCCAGGCCATAATCCCTTGTTCTCCATGCTCCTCTCGGGATACTGGGTATGCATTTACACACACCTGGTGTGGGTTCTGAGTCGCCAGGTTTGGGACTTGAACCGCAGTCGACCACATCGGAGTCCAGTACCCTAACCACTATGCTACCTGCTGGCCCTTGAGCATGTCTTTTAGAAGTGCAGTGGTTAAGTGCTGTGCCTTGGGAGCTGGATCCCACATGGCCTACGAGCCAACCACAGTTGGAATCTCAGCCCTGGCTTCTTGAAAAAACAAACACATTAAGCACGGGTACATGTGTGCCCAAGATGACAGGAAGAAGAAATGGAGAGAAGACCATCTGAAGTTACAGTTAGACTTCGGGATGGGGAATAATCAGAAGGGGAACCTTTTGCAAATCTTTTGCTGCCATTTGCAGCTTGTGAGACCATGGATATCAAGCCCTTGGGTCTCAGTTTCTACATCCCGATTCGATAAAATAAGCACTAACATCTCCTCCTGCTCCAAAATTCTATGCTACTCAGAGAGTGGAACTCTGCAGCCAGGCTGGCCTGAGGGCAGGGGAAGGTTACGGTTGGGGAGGGGTGGAGCAGGCCCGAGAGCAGCTATGACCTCAAGTTTCTTTGCAAAATCTACCAACACATAGGCACATACGACACCACTAGGCACTCTGAGGCACTTGCTAGCTCATGCTCTGCCTGCTAATCCTTTCCTTTTTGTCCATGAAGTACCTTCTTCTGGCACATGGCATTGTGTACCTGTCTCTAGTAATCTTAATATTCCAATCCTGATCCCTTTTCTCTGCCTTGAGCATATATATACTTCTATAAATGGACTGATCCAGTCTCTCCTTGGCCCATGGTAAAGGAAATGTTAAAGAATAGCAGGATGGGGGCTGGCAGTTGGCATAGTGATAGAGGTGCCAGACTCCCACATGGTCAACTGCGGTTTGAGACCTGGACCTGGTGGCTTGCTTTCTCACTTTCCCTTTCTCTATTTCTGGTCGAATTAAAATAATAATAATAATAAATAAAAAATAAATTAAAAAAAAAAGAATAGGACACCTGTAAAAGAAACTGAGAATGACAGAGGGCTCTGGCTTTAGTTTTCTTCTGTCAACCTGACAGAATTTTACTAATGTTTTTGTTTTCTTGCTCTATAAAGAACTAGGGTTTCACTCATCTCACTTACAAAAATCTGTTTATAAAGAACAAACTATAAAATGCTTTTTGCAAAGAAGAAAAAGTCACCTACCAGAGAGAAATGATGTAAATTGGGTATGTGCATATATTAAATTTTTTTTCTTCAAAAACAAAGCAGATAATCCAGTATACATGGTTTTGCATTTTGCTTTCTCAATTTACTAATATTGTGGGGCCTCAACCCTCAGGATGAGCCTCCAACCACTAACCTGACTCCTTACTGGATATCCATGCAGATTCTCAAGTCTGTATGAGGAGAGTCACCACACTCCCACACCCCATCCCATTTCAGCAGAGGTCAGTTATGGCTAGAGGACAGCCCCACAGACAAAGCCCTCCTGCCACACTGCCCTTTGTGGGCTACAGGGCTTTCCAGAAGTGACAGAATTACCTGAGTTTCAATTGTGATCGCACCTCTCCAAACTCCAGCTGGAGCAGTTCATTGTAACAGGCCATGATGTTGGGGTTTTCTATATACCTCTATGAACAGAAAGGGAAAGTGTGTGGATAAACAAACGTGCATCTTTAAATCACTATATATACCAATAGAAGTCTTTTAAAACAATTTTTCAATTTAGTCACTGAAAATCTAAAAAAATAAACCCTATAATCATTAATGAACAGGAGATGACAGAAAATTTTATGGGTACCAAATTCACTTAAAAAAAAAAAAAGGTTTAGGAATGCTTTTTATTTATTTTTATTTTTTCTGGAGAGGTTTTTGCTATAGGTGTGTGCACTCACCAGAGAGAGACAGAGAGACAGAAAGTGAGAAATCACCCCCCAGAGGGGATGGCCACGCCGTAATCCCTTCTCCTCCATTCTCCTCTCGGGATCTTGGGCACACACGCACACGGGCTCGGCATGAGTTTAAGTCATCGGGTCCGGGATGCAAACCGTAGTTGACTACATGGGAGTCCAGCGACATATTCATTACACTAACTGCTGGTCCCAGGAATGCTTTTCTAAGGCTGGACAGTGACACGGTGGTATTACAACATTCTGCAAGGCTGACTCACATGGAAAGGTTCTGAGCTCATGTCCAGATACCTACCTAAACACACTAGGAGCACGTGTGTCCATGACCCAGGGCTGGATGAAGCTGGTAGTGGATCATGGTGTGAAAATTTTTTTCTCCTTAAAGTCACACAAACTTATGACTTACATTTACTCTTTTTAAAAATAATTCTTTATTTATTTTTTTTATTCATTCACTTATTTTAATTTGACCAGAGACACACACAGAGAGAGGTAAAGTGAGAAACCGAGCCCCAGGTCTGGGACTTGAACTGTGGTCAGCCATGTGGGAGTGTCCAGTCCCTTAACCACATGCCACCTGCTGGTCCTGACTTACATTCACCCTTAGACTTCTATTTGCACCTGGACAAGAGGAAACCTGCACTCGGGCAACATGTTCCTAAGCTAACCTCCGACAGTGGCTCACCAAGGACAATGAGAGGCGCCGGCAGGAGCCTTAGATTTGCCCAGGGTCTCTTACTGCTGTGGACATTGGCTAACGGCCTTTACAAAGTGGAAACATCCCACAACAAAGCAAATCACACAGTTCTAAATGATGTATTTTAGGGACCAGCAGTTAGCGTAATGGCTATGTCATCGGACTCCCATGTAGTTGACTGCGGTTCGAGTCCCGAACCCAGTGGCTTAAACTCATGCTGGATCCGTGTGCATGCATGCCCAAGATCCCGAGAGGAGAATGCAGGAGAAGGGACTGCGGTGTGGCCATCTCCCCAGGGGGTGATTTCTCACTTTCTGTCTCTCTGTCTGTCTGGCGAGCACACACGCCCTATAGCAAAAACCTCTCCAAAAAAAAAAAAAAAAAGATGTATTTTAGAATGACATCTCAGAAGTCGCTGTGTTCTGTCATGCAGTTCCATTCAGATGTATGGAGATTTGTGAACACTTACTCCCATTTCTTGAAGAGCTCTTTCCTTCCCCCTGCACAGGAAATGGGTAATATTCTAGCTAACTGAGGAGGAAGCTGAGGCCTAGGAGGCAGGGCCCCTGTAGGCCACTACCTATAAGCCCCAGTCACACAATAACCTCGCACATGGGACCCTTCGAGGAGTTCCTCTACTGCCTCACTGAAGGAAGATGTCCCCTTCTGAACAGCCATCAGGATCTTGTCTGGGTGTCAAGCAACCTAAAACTCCAACCCCAGCTTCAAGCCTTTAAAACTGCTTATGGGGTTTGGACAGTGGCTTAGCAGTAAAACGCAGTGCTTTGGGAAGCCGACCTACATGGTAGGGTTCTGTGTTCACATCCTCCCTGGGTGCAACAAACACACGGATGCCTATGATCTGGGGCTGGCTGAAGCTGAGAGTGGGCCACAGTGTCAGGGCTCTGCTGGAGGTGCCCTCTCTCTCCCTCACCAAAGAAATATGTAAGTACAATTTTTTTTTTACGAGGTTTTTGCTGGAGGGTGCGTGTGCTCACCAGAAAGACAGAAAGCGAGAAATCGCCCGCTGGGGGGATGGCCACACCGGAATCCCTTCTCCTCCATTCTTCTCTCGGGATCTTGGGCACACACACACGCACATGTGCCCGGCTTGAGTTTAAACGACCAGGTCCGGGACTCAAACTGGGGTCGACTACATGAGAGTTCAGAGACATAGCCGTTACACTAACTGCTGGTCCCATGAGTACAATTTTTAATGGCCAGCAGGTGGCATGGTGGTTACTACACTGGATTCCCACGTGGCTGACCACAGTTTGAATCCCAGAACCCGGCAGCTTGAAAAACACTGGGTGAATGCACGTACACACCCCAAATTCAGAGAATGGAATGCAGGGTGGTCATCCCCCTTGGGTGGCGATATCTGTTCCTCTCTGGTAAGCGCACACATCCCATGGCAAAAAGGCGGCGGCGGCCAGCCCCATAACCTAGTGGTTAAAGGAGTTAGAGTCCCTGTGGCCAACTGTGGTTAGAATCCTGGCCCCAAGTAGCTTGGAAAACATGCCCTGTATGTGTGTACGCACATGTATGTATGCACCCAAAATCCTGACAAGATGGAGAAACAGAGAAGGGACTGTGGCATGACTCTGTCCCATTAGGAGGTGCTTTCTTTCCCTCATCCTCTGTGGCAAGCACATGCACCCTCTAGCAATTAAAGAAAAAAAAGCTATGCAATCTTAAATGAAGCCTGCAGGTCAGAACACAGCCCTTCTCACCCAGGGGCAGCATGCCTGCCAGCTCCGACGGACTAAAACGGGAGGGAAGTACTGGACCTGCTGCTCACATCACTCACTCCCCTTCTGACTGGGCAGGACCAGGGAGGAGAGATTCCTGGGCACAGTGCTTGTGCCACTGCAGTGCACCAGGGCTGGAGGCCTGGAGACAGACAGGAGTCCCAGATGCTCTGCAGGTGAGATCCTGGTATACGCAGCCTGTGTATTTATCCAGTTCAACAAACGGACTCCCACATACGCAACAGATTTTAACTGGGCATACGTGTTATACTGGGTTGTCGGAAAAGTCATGACTCATTTTTGCATAGAAAGAAACATCATGACTTTTCCAATGACCCATTATATCCTCCCATTTTTTTACTCCAAAGGTAGAAATCAAGGTTAAAAACAAAACAAAACAAACTAGCACACAGGCCAGCAGGTGGTATGGTGGTTAAGGTGCTGGGCTCCCACATGACTGACCACAGTTTGAGTCCTGGATTTAGTAGTTTGAAAATCTGGGTGGGCAATTGTGCATGTGAGCCCAAAATCTCAGGAGAATGGAGAAGGGATTGTGGTATGGCTATCCCCCCGCCCGCCCCGGGGGTGATTTCTCACTTTTCTTCTCACTGTCTCTCTCTGGTAAGTGCACATGCCCTATGGAAACAACAAAAACACTACTGGATTGTCAGAAAAGTCATGACATAATTTGGTACAGAAAAACAGAAAAAACGTGATGACTCTCTGACAACCTGACAGCATACATGACAAAACAGCACCCTCTCCCGCTGCCTGGCCCCCTCACCTCTGCTTTGCGGTCTCACACTGTTCAGTGCGGCCTGACACTTATCTGTCCTGCTACTCTCCAACTGTCATTTCTGTCCCAAAGACCCCACTGGGCAATGGAGGGTGGAGAATCAAGTCATGACTCATTTTTGCACAGAATAACACATCATGACTGTTCCCATGACCCCCCAGGAGCAGGCTGCTACTCCCTCTGCTTAAACAGAAGCTAGTTTAAGCTTTCTCCCCAACCCCATCCCACCAGAGGGGCCGGACAACAACCTTGGAGACTCCATGAGCTGGCTCAGCCTTCTCATCTCCAAAGCACATGGCACTCACGGCGAGGGTCTGCCCTCATCTTGCTAGGCTTCATTCAGTGGCTCTCGACTCTTGGTTGCGTATTAGAATTACCTGCACTTGGGGCCAGCAGGTGGCATGATGGTTAAGACACTGAACTCTCACATGGCCAACCATGGTTCAAGTCCTGGACCTGAAGGCTTGCTTTCTCACTTTCCCTTAACAAGAAATAAAATTAAATGGGACCAGCAGTTAGCGTAACGGCTATGTCGCTGGACCGCGGTTTGGGTCCCAGACTCAGTGGCTTAAACTCACGCTGGGTGCATGTGCGCACATGCCTAAGATCCCAAGAGAATAGAGGAGAAGGGATTGTGGTGTGCCCATCCCCCTTGGGGGAGGGGGGTGATCTCTCGCTTTCTCTCTGTCTTTCTGTTGAGCGCAAGAACCCTATAGCAAAATTCTCTCAAAAGAAAAAAAAAATTAAATAAATAAATATATTTTTAAAAATGACCTGTGGAACCAGCATATGGTGTAATGGTTATGTTGCTAGACTCCCACGTAGTCGACTATGGTTCAAGTCCTAGACCCAGCAGCTTAAAACTCGTGCTGGGCATGTGTGTGCATGTGCCCAAGATCCCAAGAGGAGAATGGAGAAGAGACTGCGGTGTGGCCATCCCCTGGGGGGTGATTTCATTTCTCACTTATGTCTCTCTGGTGAGCACATACACCCTATAGCAAAAAATCTCTTATGCAAATAGAAGGCTTAACCACCTCAGGTGGCGAGCCAAATAACCCAAGACTAGGAGAATAAACTGTCCTCCAATTTCACCAGAAAGTAGCAGGCTTTGCGGCCGTCGGTAAAAGGAAGAGTCGGTTTTGCAGCCTCAGAGGAACAACACAAAGATCTCCAAAGTCACTGGGGAGTCTTCCCTCGGTGTGGAGAGGGCAGCCTAGGGATGGACAAGCCATCCAGCCCAGGTGACCTACAACTCCCAGCCTGGGCTCCTTGCTTACAGGCGCCCTCACCTTCCCATGGGCCGGGTAGGCAGGTCCCAGGATTGTGAAGGTCAGAGAGGAGGGATGGCTGCTGATCTCTGTGTGTGTTGTACAGGGTTGTTGAAAAAGGAAGAAATACAAAAAAGTCACAAGAACTACTTAGTAACAGCATAATGTGTACTTTTATATAAAGCTGTGTATGTAAGATAACAAGTTTACCTCATCTGGTATTTGAGTTCTTTGGGCCTGCATTTACTTGTTACCTCTTTCTTCCTTTATTATTAAGCTCCTGTACCACTGCAAGTGTCTGATAACCATCATGTAATCGCACAATCTAACAGCCTCTCTCTCTTTTTCCTTTTTTTTTTGGAGAGGTTTTTGTTATAGGGCATGTGCACTCACCAGGAATACAGAAAGAGACAGACAGAAAGTGAGAGTTCACCTCCCAGGGGGATGGCCACACCACAATCCCTTCTCCTCCATTCTCCTCTCGGGATCCAGGATACGCATGCACACGCGACCGGCATGAGTTTAAGCTACCGGGTCTGGGACTCGAACTGCAATCAACTCCGTGGGAGTCCAGCGATCCAGCCGTTATGCCAACTGCTGGTTCCTAACCTACTTTTTAAAAGCCTTTATTTAAAATTATTTATTTTATTTATTTTAATTTGACCAGAGAGGGACAGAATGAGAGAGAGACAGACAGAAAGTGAGAAAACAAGCCGCCTAGCCCAGGACTCAAACTGCGGTTGGCTATGTGAGAGTCCAGGGCCCTTAATTACTACACCACTTGCAGGCCCCTCTTAACCTATTTTCTAACATTGTATCTCCATGTTCCATGCTAGTTAATTGCTTCTGACCTACTAAGTTTATCATTTTTCAGTTATGCTTTCCCTTCTTAAAATTCAATTTTATTCTGCTTAAACTTGGCCATGTCACTTCCACAGTTTTCTATTCCTTGCAGCTACTTCCTAGCTCAGCTTGTCTTTTATTTCTTTGCATGGACAGGCACATTTGCTTTGTAACTTGAGTCTAACCATCCTACAACCTGTGGAGCAGGAGGCTCTGTGGCTGCCTTTCTGTCTTTCTCTTCTCTGTTAGTTCTCACCTGCACTGCCTCGTCTCCTGGTGGCGTGGTCAGCTCTGATGGGGTGCTGCTGGCAGCCCTTGTTCAGTTATTTGCAGAGGAAGATTTGCACATGCTGCTGCATGTACCTAAGAGTAGCACCCACTCAGAACCACGTAACAGTAAAGTAAGGCTTGAGGTTTCTTGCCCACTCAGACACAAATGTGGGCTACAAATCTACTCGAGGGTTGGCCTTATTTACGTTCTCTCAATTAAAATTCTCAGGGCCTCATTTGCTGCCAGTTGACCAAAGCCTTCCGTAGCCTTCTGGCTTAGGAGAAACCAACAGCCTGGAGGCGGGAGTGGAGACAAAGGGAGCTGTGTATGGGTTACCTTACTTATGGAATCCTTGAACTGGCGTTCAAAGTTGTGTGTATACATATGAGCATTATGACAATACCTCCTCTGGTATAAATGTTAGAGTTAGCCATTAAAGGAGACTTTATTATGTTTCGATGCCTTAAGCAGGCATAGTTTGAAGAGACTAAGAAAGTGGGTGACAGATTATTAGACTACAAGGTTTGAAAACTAAATCAAACTGTAACAGAGCATGAGGACAATTTTTTCCCCTTTATATTACCTCTAAATGTTTGCTGGATGCCAAACTGAGATAAAGCAGTTTCTCACATGAAATTATACTTGTATAACAAGAAGTAGGCACATACCCTGGTAAAGCCAGCAGCAATGAAGGGCCTTATAGACAACTCTTTATCCATCCTTCAAAAGACACAGCAAAGGGTTAGATGTAATTATCAGTGCTATTCCACATCTTCAGGTATTCTCTAATTTACATAACATTTTGTCATATAATTATTACTTCTAGATCAATCAGATTAAGATACAAATTTAAAGCATAAAGTTGAAAATAATTTTCAATTTCATATTTAGCTTTTTGACAGCATATATTATCACACCTAAAATATAGATATTAACAGAATACAAGAGTATCCATACACATATAGTGTAAAAATTTTAATGAACTAAATTTTCTTTTTTCCTCTCTATTTCCAGTTACCTTTAAAAACAATTCTCTTATATGTCAGCTGTGCTAGCTAGTGGATATAATTAGACAAATTGAGTTCATTGGTAGAACAATTGAATGGGGGGGGGCGGAAGCCATTGAGGGCAATCATGAATGTCAGGAACAATGGAGGAGGAAGATGGGACATGGCAGAGGGTGGGGATGGGGAACCTAGGATGGCAAAACAAAAGGCAAGGTATGCAGGACACAAAAATTGGGAAATCATTTGCTGAGAACATATATGTTGATGTGCTTGATTGAGCCAATGCACAGTGTATTTTGGATGGAAAATTCATATGTGTGTTGTGATGAGAAAAGAAAAAAAAATTATAATAATAAGAAAAGAAAAGAAAAAAGAAAAGAGAATGAAGGTATTATAGTAGAGGTAGGTAAGTAGGGACAAACTCACTCCCTAAGTTCATTTAAATATGTGCTGACAGACATAGAGTGAATGGTGGAGTCAAGAGTTTGACCCTGACAGTATGTGTTCTAACCATTAGATTATATCACTTCCTATGTCAGGTGGATTTTACCCATATTTTACAAATGAAGAAATGGAGGCTAGAAAGGATGAGTATGTTGTATGAGGTTATGATGGTCATCATAAGTTAAATATGAATTATAATCCAAACTTGTGAATTCTGATACCTGTACTTCTTAATTTTAAGTACGCTTTTGCTACTCATTAAAAATTTTGTGAAAGGGACCAGCAGTTAGTGTAATGGCTATGTCACTGGACTCCAAAAAAAAAAAACAATTCTCTTCTCCCCCAAAGTGCAAGTAAAAAATTTTAAGGGAACAGAAACATTTCTCCTATCTACATATTTTTAAAAATACACTAAATAACATTTATTTGAATATTTACACTCCTCCTTACATGTCTTCTCTTATTTTCTTATCTCCCATTTAAGGATGAAATACATGTTGAGTGTCCCATAACTGAAACATTTGGAAGCAGAAGTGTTTCAGATTTTGGATGTCTTTGGATTTGAGAGTATGTACATATATATAAAATGAGATATCTTGGGGATGGGACCCAAGTCTAAACACGAAATTCATTCATATTTCATATACACATCACACACACAGCCTAAAAAGTAATTTTATAAAATGCTTTGACTACAGCCTGTTACATGAGGTCAGGTGTAGAATTTCCACTGATGGTGTCACATCAAGACTCAAAAAGTTCCAGATTTTGGGGTATTTCAGGTTTTAGATGTTCAGATTAGGGATGCTCAACCTGTATTAGGGTCCCCCCATTTATATATAACTCAAATCCTCACAGTTATTTGGAATTACAAGGCCCCAGGAAGACATCCCTGGGAAACATTCACTTTTAAGAATGGAATTTATTCATGGCTTACCTATATCTAAAATGAAAGGAAGTCCCAAGTCACAAAACTTATGCAGAAACTCCCTCTATTAATTTAAGTGGAGAGGCCAAAGACAGAAAGGAAGGAGCAGAGTACAAAGCGTCCTAGCCTGCAAGCCGCTATTCGTGTCTGCCGTAAGCAAGCATTACATTGACGCCTGAATTTCAACATTGAGAAAAAAAGAAAGTTTACCTGCGTACTACACCAACAATAACTGTGTTTTCTGAGAGTTTTGATGATCTGATAGACCTTAAAAAAAAATTAAGAATTTTTAAAAATAATTCTTAGAAGAACACAATTCCTGTCCTCAAATGTTGGAAATCCACTCTGGAGAAGGGGTCTTGAGATCTGCCCTAGTGACTCTGTGGGCCAATTGGTCAAAGCTGGGCTCACCACAAAAGAGAACTTGTTATTATTATTATTCACACATTAAATCACTATACATCATTTAGATTGTGAAGAGACTTTACCCAGAATGATATACGCCTCAGTCCAGCACAGTTGAGACCACCATACACATCCTCATCAACAGATAATAAACCTTATCTGTGTCTCACAAGTGTCTTACCTCTCCATTTCCCCCGCAAATTTCCTACGCTCTTTCCTTTTCCCTCCAACTGGGTATCCACCTGCAGAAAGATGAATCTGAACCTCTATCTGTCACCATTAACAAAAATCAGCTCAAAGTGGATCAAAGATCTAAACCCAAGACTGCAAACTATAAAAACCCCTGGTGGAAAACACTGGGGAAACTCTGGGAGACAATGGGGTAGGCAAAGACTCCTTAAGCAAGACCCCCAAAGCACAGGCAATAATCCCCCAAATAGACAGGTGCGATTACATCAGATTAAGGAGTTTCTGCACAGTAAAGGACACTATAATTAGTGTGAATCAACAATCTTCGGAGTGGAAGAGAATTTTTGTTAACTGTGCCTCAGATAAGGGACTGATAACCAGAGTACACAGGGAACTCAAGCAGCTTACCCAGAAGAAAATGATTAACCCAATTAAAAGATGGAAAAATGAGCTGAATACACAACTTTCTAAGGAAGACACATGGACAGTCAAAAAGGATATGAAAAAATGCTCACCACCCCTTTTAAAACTTGATTTCTTTTGCGGGAAGCTCCTCTCCCTAGCAAAGGCTGGAGAGAGGCTGGTGGGCACTTCGTAGAGTGCACATCCAACCTTCTGTGCTTGTCCAAAACCACATGTTACACAATCCAGTTCCCATTCTTTATTTTAAAATTGTGTAAAACTGTTATTTACGTGTTGAGAGCACTCTGACCATAGTGCTGTGGACTTCGGTATGTGTGAGTTTCTGAGCTCTGTGCAACATGACTTTTTTTCATTTAAATATTTTAACTCCTCTAGTCCACATGCTTGTAAAGTTAAGAACTTTGCTCTACTAATATTTGGCCTAGAAAATGTTCTTGTATACAGCTCAATAATTTGCTAAATGAATTAACCCTATATGTTTAGAAAGTCCCCAAACCACAATAGTACCTCTTCTTCCCTTAAAAAGTAGAGCATAATTTTTTTTTTTTTGGAGAGGTTTTTACTATAGGGCGCGTGCGCTCGCTAGAGACACAGAAAGCAAGTAATCATCCCCCAGGGGGATGGCCATGCCACAATCCCTTCTCCTCCATTCTCCTCTCAGATCTTGGGCATGCACGCACATGCACCCAGCGTGAATTTAAGCCACTGAGTCTGGGACTTGAACTGCGGTCAACTACATGGGAGTCCAGCGATATAGCCATTACGCCAACTGCTGGTCGCTAGCAGAGCAGAATTTTATGTTATGCATACTTTAACACAATTTTAAAAAGTGGAACATAATTAATACAATTTAACTTTTCTTTTACAATAGATGATGATTTAGCAGAGTCAACTTTATGAATACAAATGTCCACTATCTGGCACAGACTTGTGGCCAGACTTGGGCTGGGATCAAACTGAGAAAAAAGCCAAGTTTTCCCCAGCATCTTGCCCCTCCTCACCTTTTCAATCAGTTAGTCCTTGGTCCTCCTTAGAGACCTCTCTTGCCTTTCAGAATTATATTTAGATACTTAAGCACCACATAATGTAGGTATTTTCTTCCCTTCCTGAGTGCTAGCCATCGAATACTGAGAACAGAAGGGATCTTGGAAACCAAGTCTTCCAAGTAAACATCCCCAGAGAAGCCAGTTACCCAGCGTCGAGCAGCTGGTCAGAGGAAGAGCAGCGCCCAGGACAGAGGCCTCCCTCCACCTTGGTGCGCAGCCTCTCTCTCTCTCCTGAGCTGTAATTCCTCATGGATGTGCCAGGTGGCTGGCCAGATGATGTGTCTGAGTTACAGTGATAATGGCTTGCTGTTGGGTTGAACAGCTAGAAAGAGGCAAGGAACACAGAACAGACAGCACTTTCAGTGCTAAATCCAGACCAGAGAGGAAGCTGTGTTAGAGGCAATCGCACCAAAGCTATCTTGTCTATCAGATATGTGGGTTTTCGCCACCAAGAAAACAAGTGCATGCTGAAATCAACAAGTACCCCACGAACAATCCTATGATGCGATGTCACTGGCTTTTGTACCTCCCTTTCTACTCCTGGCTATATTTGTCTTAAATCTTTCTGTCTCTTAAAAGTTGAGATTTTAAGGTCAACACCATAGTGCAGTGGTTAAGTACTGCACACAGAAAGTTAGATTCCACATGGCTGACCATGGTTCAAATCCTGGTCCTGGAGGTTTGAAAAACATGCCAGGTGCATGTGCATACATGCCCTAGGACCCTGAGGGGATGGAGAAGTGGAGGAAAAAGGACTGCAGCATTGATCACATCCCACTGGACGTTGCTTTCTCCCCTCTTTCTCAGCAGATGCATATGCTCACTGGGAATAATAAAAAGTCACAATTGTAAATGTTCTTAAAATTACTATGTTATAAAGTTTTATATTAAAATTATTATTTGTCTTCCTGCAAATAAAGTTTTCTATTACATAAAATCAGTATTTTACTTTGCCTTGCTTCCAACAGCAACAAATAACTTCCTTTAAAAAGCACTTTGCAGACACGCTTCTGTGGTGCATTCAGTAGAGTACTGAACTGTATTGCTGAAAGCCACATGGCTGACTGTGGGTTCAGATCCCAAGCCAGTAACCCACAAGACGGCACGCAGTGTGTGTGCATGTCTAAGATCCTGCCTAGCCAGAAGGCTGGGGGGAGGGGACTGCAGGGTGACAATGCCCCGCTGGAGGTGATCCTCTATTGTGCATACACACATGCTCTCTATCACAAATAAAATAAATAAGCTAAAGAAGCACTTTGTGGGTTTTTTTTTTTTTTTTGAGAGATTTTCGCTATAGGGCGCGTGCGCTCACCAGACAGACAGAGACAGAGAGACAAAAAGCGAGAAATCACCCCCCAGGAGGGATGGTCACGCCGCAATCCCTTCTCCTCCATTCTCTTCTCAGGATCTTGGGCACGCACGCACGCACGCACACGCGCCCGGCATGAGTTTTAAGCCACCGGGTCCGGGACGCGAACCACGGTCGACTACGTGGGAGTCCAGCGACATAGCCATTACGCTAATTGCTGGTTCCCTAAAGAAGCACTTTGGAGTCAGATGATGGTTCTCTGCAAGGCTGACCCACATGGAAAGACTCCAAGATTGTAACCAAAGGCCTCCCTCAGTGTGCTGGGTACATATGTACCTATGATCTGGGGTTGGCTGAAGGCTGGGGGTGGATAACACTTTGTTGGGGGTGCTCTCTCTCACTCATGGAAGTAAAGAAAAAAAAAACAAAAAAAACAAAAGACTTTTCTGGCCTAGCCATGGTGTTACTGCTATTAAGATGCTATACTCCATAGCCTGGGACCACATGGGAGAGCTGGGTTCTATGCCTGACCCAACCTAAAAGCCAGGCACGATGGCACGCACATGTAAGCCCAGCTATTTAGAAGGTTAAGACAGGAAGGAACTCAAGGTGGGCCTGGGCAACACTGAAATTTCCTATTTAAAAAAGAGCCCAGCATGGTGATGTGTACTTGTGGTCTCACCTGGGAGGCTGAAGCAGGAGGACTGTGGGAGGCTCTATCTTTAAAAAGAAGGGAAAAAAAGGCACTTTTCTTAGACTTATGTCTGCTACACAAAATTCTCTCATGATATTGGTATTCTGCAAGTATAATAAACTATCATCTAACATTAGAAGACAACTTTCAAATTTTTTATAACCTTAAAACAATCAGGAAAAGTATAATTCTTATTTAATGTTATATAATATGCAGGTGATACTGGTTACTTACCAAGTTTCATCTTAACCCTTACTGGTTCTCATTCTGATGCTCTCTGTTTTAATCGGAGCAAAGCAAGACAAACAAAAGAGCTCAAGATCAGTCCTGATGCCGATTTTGTGCAGAAGGCAATTTAAAAGACAAACTGCAGCCAGCTCTGTGGCCCAGCAGTAGGTCCTGCTTCAGGGTAACTGCATCCCACCAGGTCCACACCCTGGGCCCACTCGGCCTGAAATACTCTGGGTACCTATGCGGTGGGCTGGAGGAAGGAGACTGCAGTGTGACCAGACCCTGTGGGGGGTACTCAGCTCTCACTCTCCCCCTCACTTTCTCTCTCAGTATCTTTTGTGCACATGCTCTATTACAGATGAAGATAAAAGTATTTCCTAAGTTAAAAAAAAAAAAAAAAAAAAAAAGGACTGAATTCAACTCAGTGTATTTCCAGGTTGCATTTACTGTTGCAAAGCCCAGTGAGACCACCTGGGCTGAGTCCTGGGCATACCTGCACAGTGCTTCTGCATCCAGCTGCCGGGGATTTCTGTGGTCAATGATGATGATGTCATGGTGTTTGTCCAGGAAACAGGCAAGGACAGCCTGAGCCTTCTTGGTGACTGTACACTTAAACCCTGCTTTTTCACATGCCCTCCAGAATCCACTACACTGGTTATCTTCTTTGGTAAACACTAAAAGTACCTGAATCAAAAAAGCACACATACTTTTTTACAAAAATACATTGCTACCATTGTCCTTTCTTAACGAACCACAAAAAACTTCCAAGAGTTTTCCAAGCTAGAACACAGATGTGACCATAATGATCTTTAGCTATAAATCCTTCTTTTATACCTAATTCAGAAACATTACCACTCAACTCCCCTAAATTAGAGCTATTTTCTATCTGGCCAGAGTCTGGAAATCCAGGTGCATAAATCATATCCTTGTTTTGCTAATAAATCCACTGGCAGATCTCAACAGGCTTGATAAAGCATTTTATCTGAAAATGAGTTAATTAAAACATGTACTTCTTTTGGCTAACAGAATGTTAACTGAGTAAGTTTTCAGATGGCAAATGCTAATATTTCAATTGAACTACTAGAACTTTTTATTTAACTCATGTATATAAATGCTTTGACTCAAGATTTAACGTAATTCCTCCAAGTTAAAAAAAAATTACTCTGCTTTTAGTAAGAGGAGAGACAAAGTAAATCAAGATATTGCACTTCAAAACCTTCCAGTTAGTGACACAGGAAGGGCACCAGGTACAGGAGGCAGTATCTGAGCCTCTGCCCAGACAGTGGTCAGCTGTCCTGGTACCTGGGCAGGATCGGGCAAGGCCTGGAGCTCATCTTTCTTTCAGAGAGCCAGGTCCCCCACCACTGTGGTTCAGAAGCCCACTGCTCCATCCCTTCAGAACCAGGAACAACAGTGGGAGGCTGGAGACAGCCTGCAAGACACCAGAAACCTCTTCCTCAATGCTCACCTCCTCTATTTTTACTCAACTGCACAAATGCCTTCGATGCACAGAAAGAACAGTCCTTGTGTCTGTCAGCCCCATTCACATTTTCCCAGCTTAACAGTGAACATGTGTGTGTGTGCAGGAAACCCCAAATAACTCAGCTAAGTTTCAGTGGGTTATTTCTGTCTCATGTTATAGGTTAGACAGATTACACAGACTCTTTCTGATACAGCTGATTCAGCAACGCTGAGAGGGCTGTTTTTATTTTTAATATTGGGAAATTTCCAACCTATTGAAAAGATGTAATGACAGCGGATGCTGGGATAGCTTTCCTCTAGATTCATCAATTTGGCCACCCTTGCTTTGTTTTCTCTCTGTACACACACATCCATGTACACAAAATTGTACACACTTTTTCTTTACTGCTGATCCAATTTCGAGTAAATTGTTAATCTTCATTTCTAAATACCTCACTATGTATTTCTAAAAAAGGGCATTCTCTTAATATAGCTACAGTACTCTTGTCAAGTTTGGGAAATTTACCATTGATCCAATACTATTACTTAAAAGAGAAAACTATTTCTAATGTATATCTTTAGGCTTTCTCCCTCCTCTCTTTTAAAGAAAATCAACATGTTAAAGTTATAGTATGGTTCAGGGCTGGCAGGTGGTGTGGTGGCTGGGGCACTGGATTCCCACATAGCCGATCGTGGTTCAAGTCCTGGACCTGGTGGCTTGCTTTCTCACTTTCTCTCTCTCTGGTCAAATTAAAAAATAAATAAAGTTAAATCATTATTTTAAGAAAATTTTAGCATATCTCATTATTACCTGAAGTTGATCTTGATGAAATCTCATGGGGCCAAATTGCACATCAGCTATTGATACCTGTAAGAAAAACATTTGCTTTAAAATGACAAGGAGAGAAACTCTGCACATTTTTTCTCCTTAATCAGTAACACAGACAAAAGTGAAATTTATATCTAGAAAAAAAATACATAAACAGAGAAATGATTTTGAGGACTCTCGAATATGTCTTTATATTCCTCAAGAAAAGTGAGAAGCAGAAAAGGAGAAATGAAAGTTATCCGATCCCTGGTTTTGCCTTATACTAGTCATATGCAACTTTAAGTGAATTACTCACCCTCAGCCTCAATTTCTTATTTGTTACAAAGATCAAATGGGAATGCAATTTTAAAAAAGAAAAAAGCCCCCAAACAGTACAGAAAAAATAAACCCTCGCTTCTTCCACATCTATTTCCAATAGAGGATGAAATACTCATCCAAAATGGCGCATGAATAACGCAACCCAGCAGTCAAACCACAGGTGTCAGGGCCAAGGAAACCTCGTGGGGAAATAGTGGACACTTCATTTTATGGAAAAGCCCACTAGCGCTTATCAGTAAGTGCTTATTCATTTGTGAACTTGATGCTGAAATACACACAGATAAACACAATGCCATAATCAAACCCTGAGAGTAACAATAACCACAGCACCAGTACAGGGCTTAACATGTTCTGGTCACCGTGACAAGGGCAAACAGATGTTATCACAGATGTTATCTGCTTCACGACAAATCCTCACAGCAGTGAGGTGAGGCTATGCGATTAGGAAAGTGAAGTACCCACGTGTATATCTAACTGTGCGGCACCCATGTCTACTCACTACGGACCACTGGATCAGTATGTGTGGGTTTTTAAAAAATATTTTTGTAATTTTTCTATAGGGCAAGTGCACTCATCAGAGACAGAGAGAGAGAAAGGGAGAAAGAAAGCAAGCCTCCAGGTCCAGGAATCAAACCATAGTTGGCCATATGGGAGTCCAGTGCCTTAACCACCATGACACCTGCAGGCTCCCTGGCTCAGTTTTTACTTGCTTTACCATGATCTTGCCTCTCAGAAGGCATAAGAAGAATGACGATCCCAACTGTTCTAGACATAAGACTGAAGAGAAAGATTCTTTGTTTAAGAGGGAGGGTGAGGAGAACAGCCCATGGCAACCACTTCTCCCCTTGAGCTCTGTAACTGTAAGTAAGCCTCATATTGGGAAATGTGGTTGGATACCAAAGCTGGAATTTCTGAAAGAGAAGATGGTCTGAGAGTGTCCTAAAGGAGAGATTTAGGGGCCAGCATTTGGCATGGTGGTTAAGGTGCTGAACTCTCAGAGTTTGAATCCTGGCCCTGCGGTTTGAAAATTCTCAGGTGCATGTGCAGGAATACATGGTGAAGAGATAGAAACTAAGAAGGCAAAGAAAAGGCTGAATGGAGGAGAAGGGACCGCAGTGTGGACATCAGCGCTGGAGAGTGATTTCTCACTTTCCCTGTCTTGCGCACACATCCTATGGGAAAAAAACAATCTTAAAAAAAGAAAGATTTGGGGGGCAATGGCAGAACAGAAGCAGTAGGGATCTGTCTCCCCACCTACCCAATACTGCACAAACAGAATACGTGAAACAACTATTTGGGGCACTCTGGAGTCGGGCTCACACAGTGAACTGTGATTAATTTCTGTGATAAATTAAAGCAATTTCTGCTCTTAGTGTAAAGCAACTGTCTGCCCTTAGCCCAGGTTCATGATAGGAAGCTGTGCCTGTGCTCCTGGAACAACTAAGCACATCGCTTGTGGGAATCAGGGTGGGTAAAAACCCCTGTCCATTGGGGTGGTGGTTAAGGGTGCTGGACTCCCACATGGCTGACTGTGGTTTGAGTCCCGGACTTGGCAGCTTGCTTTCTCTTCTCTCTCTCTCGTCAAATTTTAATTAATTAATTTAGTTAAATAAAATAAGTCTTTAAAACAAAACAAAAATCCCTGTCACCAACTCTTAGAGCTCTGTGCTCAGACCACTGACTATCGCTTGTGATCACAGAGATGTAGACGAAGAGGCAGGCAGCTCTTGCTGTTGTTAATAACCCTAAAAATTATATCTTTCTTTGTATGTTGGGTGCCCCAAAACATGCACTAATAATTTTTTTAAATGCATTAGTTTTCTAAGTTATTGTGTAAGATTGAAAAATCCATCCTAAAATTCATGTCATCTCAAGAGATCCTGAATAGCCAAAAAAGTCTTGAAAAACAACAAAACTGGAAGACTTAGTTTGTTTTCAAAACTTACTACAATGCTATGCTAATCAAAATGACGTGCTACTGGCATAAAGACTGACATATAGACCAATGGAGTAGACCGGAGAGCTTAGAAATAAACAGGTATTTTTACCCCCATGCTCACAGCAACATTATTTGCAACAGCTAAAATATAGAAGCAACCCAAGCAGCCAATGACGGATCAATGGACAGGCACAATGTGGCATATACAATGGAATATAATTCATCCACAAAAAGGAAGGAAATGAGCACGCGCAACAACATGGTTGAACCGTAAGGACAGTGTGCTCAGTGAAATAAACCAGAAACAAAACGAGTCTGTGTGACTCCTGATGTGAGTACTTGAGTAATCAAAATCATGAGCAGTCAAAATCACAGCGAAAGAGAGTAGAAGGGAGGTTGTCAGGAGCTGGGCACAGAGGGGAGAGTCAGTGTGTGATGGGCACGGTTTCAGTTTTATATGCTGGAAACGGGTCTGGAGATGAGTGGTGGTGATGGCTGCACAGAAGTATGAAAGGATTTACTTATTTTATTCATTTATGTTCTTTTGAGAGGTTTTTGGTATAGGGTGTGTGTGCTTGCCAGAAAGATCAACAGGAGGGATGCTGCTACTGGACAAGGAAAAGAAGTGATTGGAGAGCTCTTGGGTCCTTTATATAAACTGGAGTCTTTAGACTCTGACGGGAGAAACTAATGAAATTCGCTATGAATCATCAAGTAGATAAGAAAACAAAGACTAAACAGAAAGAAAAGTATTTATGAATATTACAAAAACCTATGATATACTAGGTCACAATATGTATGGCTAAAAGCAAAACCTATACAGTTTATATTTTTTTGGAAGAGATTTTTGCAGTAGAGCGTATATACTCCCCAGACAGAGAAAGAGAAAGCAAGAAATCACACCCCCACCCTGGGAGGATGGCCACACTGCAATCCCTTTTCCTCCATTCTCCTCTCAGGATTTTGGGCACACATACATGTGCCCAATGTGAGTTCCAAGCCACCAGGTCTGAGACTCAAACCACAGCTGACGTGGGAATCCAGTAACATAACCATTACGCCATCTGCTGGTCCCAGTTTGTATTCTTTAACCCTAATGTAATCAAAACAAAAATTAAAAACGCAAGTTTAAACAACAACAAATGCCCCTTCCCTAGAACATTTAAAAATAACTCACATAATTACTAAATCAAAGAGGAAAATGCAAACTACACCTACATATTACTTGGAAAATAATAAAAGCCTTATATTTTGAAGGCAAAATTCATAGTCTAAAACGTTTTCGCCATGAAGCAAGAATTAAATATACTAAGCTCTCAGATTATTCAGTATGAGAAAGCTGGGCCAGCTCCATGATGCGCCAGTAATGTGCACTCGACAAGAGAAACCAGATCCCATATGGCGACTGCGGTTCAAATCCCCAGCTCGGTTAGCTTGAAACATACCAAGCATGTGCATGAGTGCCTGTGATCCAATGGGCTGGAGGACAGAAAGAAGGGGATCTCAGCATGAGCAGACTGTGTAAAGGTCCTTATCTCTCTCTCTCTGTCTTACGTGCACACATATGTACTCAATCAGCTATCAAAAAAACAAGTTTGAGAAAGTGAATAGTACAAACTTATGGAAACCAGTGGGAGAAAATAAGGTTAAAGGAGTTAATTAACAATTTTTTTAAACGTTAATGACCAGAGTAAAAAAAAAAAAATGCACATACATATGTAGGTACAGTGTTAGTCACATGCTGGGGGCAAGATGAAAATACAGGGAACTAAGGGTAGAAGGCTCATTCCTCTGAAGAATACTGAGTACGAGGTCTGTACCAGAAACTGGCGAAGCTGACTTTTACAGAAAAAGGAAGATAGCATAACTTAATGATCTCAACCCACAGAAATAACCCACCATTAGATTTAAGAAATAAAAGCAGTGGGACCAGCAGATGGTATAATGGCTGTGTTGCTGGACTCCCATGGAGTCAACCGCGGTTCGAGTCCTGGACTGGGTGGCTTAAACTCACACTGGGCACATATGCATGCGTGCCCAAGATCCCGAGAGGAGAATGGAGGAGAAGGGACTGTGGCATGGCCATCCCCCCTGGGGGGTGATCTCTTGCTTCTGTCTGTCTCTCTTTGTCTTTCTCACGAGCGCACACGCCCTATAGCAAAAACCTCTACCCAGCCCCCCCAAAAAAGATACAAAAGCAATATATTAATTTTTCTGAAGAGTTAAGGCTATGAATCTGGCCACAGTATACTTTTAGCAACATCATTTTAAATGTCCATGTTTCAGTAATCCCATTTTACCACTGAACACTTATTTTATTTACTTAACTAGACTGCATTTAACCTTACATCCTGTCTACGGGGTATATCCGGCTCTCAGGACCTCTATGGAGCAGAGTCTCGGCACAGCCGGACAACTACTTACCACTGCCCCCCCAAAATAACCACCACCAGGAAATCTGATGACATTGCTCAGGGAGCGGACGTCAGCAGTAGGCCCTCGCGGAGTAAACAACCGCCCGACTCCAGAGCACAAGGGAAGCGCAACTACGGGAATGCTTGCATGCACCCTTTGTGTATGAAAATCAGAGTAAAACTGACCTGCGGCTTCAGGCCAGCCCTCTTAATAACAGTTTATTTTCTCACATTAATACTTAGAAGGGAATGTCATCTTCAAATGAGGCTTAGTCACAGCTTAATCTTTTGGCTTTGAAAGCAACTGACATTTTTAGGTAATACAGAAACAACAGCATGTTCGAGAGCTGATTTAAGTAATTACACAA